CCCCAGGGCGCCCCCCTCCGTGACATTCCCGTCGGCGGCGGCTCCCGCAAGACCACCAAACGGTCCCGCACTTGCTCCTCCTCCTCCCTCACCACCGCTACCGCCGTTGTTTCCACCTCCACCGACGGCCGGAGCTTCTTTTTCCCGGCGAACCAGGTTCTGTTTTCCTCCGGTACAGACTCTAATGGCGGCAGCATTCCGGCGACCGTTCACGAGGTGAAGGAAAGTGCGTCATCGCTTTGTGGGAGTTTTACGTCTCTGTTGAACAACAACGCGTCTCTGTTGAACAACAACGCCGCCGTGACGACAAATGGGTCTAGTGGGCTTATTGGGCTCAACAATTTTGGGCTTGGACTGGGATCGGGTTTTGATGACGTGGCTTTCGGGCTTGGAAGAGCAGTCTGGCAGTTTTCCACGGTGGGCGACGCTACAGCTGGAGTTGGGAGTAACGGTGGTCCCGCGCCGTCGATGCCCGCCACGTGGCATCTAGAGAGCCTACACAACAACATCGGATTCATCGCCGGAGAGTGTTTCGCGTGGCCAGATCTCGCCATATCAACCACTGGGAATACATTCAAGTGGTGTTAAAGCTTCTGTCTTAGTCCGAGGGTTTCGTTTCTTCTTCTTCTCTATCGTGGTGTCTGGTCGATTTAGATTTAAGTTATTAGCACCACATCCGTGCCAACATAGAGTCCGACTCTGATTTCGAATGGAAAAACCGATACTTTTACAGTCTAAATACACTCAGTTGAATCTTTAATCCGATCCAAACAATAGTTTTAGCATTTCAATCCGTGGTGATCATTGAATCGTGTTCGTCGAAAGATTTGCACATGTTATCCTTCAACCTATGTAGTTCATCGACTTCATGGTTGGTCTGGTCTCCAGAGGTGAAAGCCTGGACACTGTTCTTCACTTCAATCCAGCTCAATCCAGGATCCTTACCAGAAATCAAGCCTCTAACTTTCCTTCTCGTCTCTGCCACCTCGTCCCATTTCCCATTAGCCGCGTAAAGATTCGAAACCAGAATATGTGTGGCAGTGTCTTCAGGATCAAGCTTCAGGATTTGCTCAGCCACCTCAAGTCCCAATTGCAGGTTTCGGGTTTCGACACATGAACTTAGCAGAGTTCTCCATAATTCTACACGCCCATCTGCGAAAGGCGACTCCTTTACGAGTTCTACAGCTTCATCTAGTAATCCCGCTCTCGATACCAAGCTCACCATGCTAGAGTAATGCTTAGGCCCTGGTTTGATGCCTTTCTCCTTCATTTGTTTCCACAGGGCCTTGCCTTTTTGTGTTGAGCCGCTGTGGCTGCAGGCTGTTAACAATGACAGATATGTCACTGGGTCGGGTCTAAGATCGTGTTCTAGGATTTGTTCGAAGAAATTCAGTGCCTTCTCTACCATTCCATGTTGACCATACACCCCCAACATCGAGTTCCAGCATTTCAAATCCGGATTTGAAATACTCGAGAATATTGATTCTGCAGCATCATGTTTTCCCGTTTTGCCATACATGTCTACTAGACCCCCGCATACCGACATCTCGTTCTCGAAACCTGTCTTCATGGCAAGGGAATGAAACATTTCACCTTGTCTCAGCATTGCCATGTCTGAACATGCTCCTAAGACACCGCTCAGTGCAAAACCATCAATTCTGTTGTTTTCTCGGTACATGTTGGCGAAGAGTTGGATTGCATCTTCGCCATTGCCCATTCTAGATTGCCCTACGATCATCTCTGTCCAGAGAACAACATCCTTTTCTCCGACCAAACCAAACACTTTCTCCGCAGATTCAGCATCTCCGTTCGTGAAGTACATGGACAAGAGTGTGGTTCCCACAAAAACACTCCTTTCGTATCCTGCTTTCGTTACTTGTCCATGAAGGAGCTTCCCATGTATATGAAATCCTGGTTCCCGGGTAGCAGAAATGATGGCAGCAAAAGTATATTCATCCGGTTCAGGTGTAGACATTCTCCGCATCTTTATATACATACGAAGAGCTTCCTCTCCACAACCATTTTCTGAGCACCCTGAAATAATCGAGTTCCAGGTAACCAAATTCGGAGTTTCAATCCTATCAAAGGCGTAGAATGCTGCTTTCACATTGCCACAGCTGCAACACATGTCGAGAAGAGCATTTTCCAGAGGTAAATCAGCTAAAACGTCTGAGATTATCATCTGGGCATGGATCGATCTCCCAATGGAAAAACTTCCCAACTTACTACAAGCATTCAGCACCATTGAATATGTGAACTGCGTTGGAAGAATACCAGATATCACCATGCTTCTGAAAAGACTAAGCCCTTCTTCTATCCTATCGTTTTTCAAGCTCCCGAATATCACAGAGTTCCACGCGACGGCATCTCTATCATTTATACACTCGAACATTCTCTTTGCGGAATCTAAGTTCCCGCAATTCGAATACATTCCCAGAACTGATGTTTGCACAACTATATTATCCGAATATCCAAGTTTTATTGTCTGCGAATGTAATGAGGAACCCATCAAAGGATCATCAAGCACACCACAGGCCTGTACTAAGCTCGTGAAGGTCGAGCTATTGGGCCTCAAGGATTCAGATTCCATCCGGGGGATCATCCCATAAACAAAATTTGCATAATCTGGGTTCCGGGCATAAGCCGAAATAAGCGCGTTATAGGAAACTATGTTTCTCTGGGGCATTTTGTCGAACACCTTACGCGCTTCTTGTACTGAACCACACCTCACGTACATAGAAATGAGATTGTTGTTCGGATATGGAGATTGGACACCGGTGGTGGTGATGATGAGCGCGTGGAGCCGACGCGCCTGCTTTAGGGAGGTGATGGAGGCGCATTTTCGTGTAAGTTCTGCTATGGAAGTAGCTACTTCCTTCGTCAGTGGCATAATCCGAAAAAAGGACTTGAAATCATCTGGCCGTACGAAACGCAGCATTTTATGCTCTCCTTCGGATAAAACGCAGCGTTTCGTCGTCTGCGACACCGCGGCAACCAACCAACACAGGAATAAGAAAATTGAAATATTATTGCGTCTCTTTTCCCGGCGATAGAGAAGAATCGCCGGCGAGGAATGGCTACCGGAGGGACGGATTCGCGTCTCCGCGTCCTGATAGATCAGCGTAGTCTCCGATCGGTACACTGTTACTCGCGATCTATCACTCTCGTTTTGGTTCCTTGTCTATGGATATCGGAATTTGCTCAATCAGCATACGCAGACATTTGCGTGTTTGTATAATCACTTGTCCACGAAACATGTAGAGGAAAACGAACTGATTTCATTGAAGGAGGAGATGAATTTTCTTATTTCTCTATCTCAGGTAATGATTGTAAGTTTCGTTCTTTAGGGTATCCATTGAAACCCCTTACGAGGTTGCTGCATTTTATACGAACCCATTGCGAAAAATGATAGCTTTTGGGTTTTTAAACTGTTTCACTGCAGTATAAGCTGCTGCTTCGTAGCTGAGTTCTTGGTTAGAAGAGAGGGCTTGCTTCCTGAAGCTAGCCCTTCTGGTTTGGTTTCAGACAGCGGGGATTGTGTATGTGTTGAAGAATTTCGTGTCTTTTTCCATGAAACTTTTGTGGGTGTTCAGACACATGTGGAAAACTCAGATGAAAATTCTCTCACTCGTGTGTGCAGAGATACTGTGTTTTATTGGCCGGTGCAGCGACGATCAGAGAGCACTTTGTTCTTGCCTCATGATGGAAGGAATAAGATTCTCTGTTAAGAAATTGCTTAAAGCTGCACCAGCCAAATAGAGTAAGATGAAAATGGAAAGCATGACTGTAAGTAAATTTGGAATACGGGATTCGAAACACGTACTTGTTAGGATCAACTATAAATCTCGATTGGAATCACGTTGTTGTTCTCCGTTGGTTTTCTGTCGATACTTAGGAATCCGACTACTAGATGCCAGAAATACAATACCACATTCCAAATGCTCTCTCGAAAATCTGATAACGTTCATATTTTTCCGATCACTTAAGCACTTTGGGATAGTTGTCTATTTATACCTTTCGGGTGTTTGCATCCCTTCAATGACACAAATTATGGAGGAATAGCGTGTGATTTTATTCTTTTGGAAGATGCTTTTAGATATCCACAGACATGGGCGAAATGTGTGGGGAAATCAAGGAATCTGTGATTATCTTATTAGATGAATCTTGATGAAGATGCACCGAATATGAAGCTTTGCTAGTATTTGTAACCATATCCAATCGTTTCACACTTTCATATTATAGACACAGTGAATGGTAGATAAACGTTATGGAGACCATCTAGGTTAGGACAGTACTTAAGCCTGTCATCGTGATTCTGAATACTTATACTGTGTACTTCAGTTGTATTTGACGGCTATTTCGTATAACAGATGGGATAGCTGTTTGGGTTTGGTGACCATAGCCATGTGACCAGCTTCCGTCATCACGTTGACTTGGTCAGGTTCGTAGTTGTTGATCATGCTCCTCTGAAACTCATCAGGCATTACGTCATCGCCTTCGCTGATGACGTACACTCTCTTAACCGATCCGTACCTCTCTTTCGTCAGCAGATTTTGGGCGCCCAGCTCCGTTCCGTACAGCCGGCTCGGCCTCATCAACGCCATGGCCAATTCTACGTCCTGCAACCGCGAGAACGGTACGAGTATTACCAAAGTCAATGAATACTGCCGGTTCAGGCCATGTGTTCATAGTTTTGGACCATGGATTCTACATGAAACAGCATGGGTAATGTATGCATATGAGATTTATAAGTTAAAAGTTGTAGTCGGTGTTTCGTTTGAAGGTAGTAAATAATATTAGACGCCAAATTGAAAATTTAATGAAAAATCTCAGAAAAATATCTAAAATTTTAAATTTTCATAAAATAAAACCTAAATTTTATTTTTTATTAAATAAAACCCTAATTTTATTTTTTCAATCGAAAATAAATTAAAATTTTATAATCGTAGTAATTTTTAAATCTAAATGTTATAAGTTAATATTTTGAACATATTTGATACGTTATTATCAATATATCACGATATTATGGTAACTAAACGATGAGTTTAAAAATGATAACTGTTATAAAGTTTAGATTTATTTATAATTTAAAAATTAAATTGAAGTTTTATTTGATGAAAACAAAGTTTATGTTTTATTTTGTGAAAATTGATAAAGTTGGGTAGTTTTTGCGAAATTTTTCAAAATTTAAATATGGAAGGCCAGGGTTTCAGGATTGAATTAGGGACTAGAAATAGGAAACTTTATCCAACTCATTCATATCGACACGATCAATGTCACCGTGTAGATTTGGGTAGGGAAAAAGATGGCGTTTTGTCCTTTTAATGGCTACGAAAGTGCAGTTTTATCATCCTCTCATACTTGCATAACCTACGGTTAAAAAAAATAAATAAAACCCTTTTCCATAACCCGATATCGCGTATTATGAATACCAAGAAACAACCCGAAGAAACATTCTTGGGGGTTATAACTCATGATACGATCGTACAAACGCATTAATTAGAGTTACCTCTAACTGGCAGTTCCTATATGCCTTCTCCTTCAAGAAACCGGGACCGAACAAGACAGAGCTCGGGAGCTTGTCTGGTCCGTCCTCAAAGGCGAACTCGCAGTCCATGGCGAATCCATCGGGCAGTTTCTTGAAATACTGCAGACACCACAAACAAAAATTAGAAATCTTTCATATGGACATTTTATTGAAAAATAAAATGCGGAAATTAAATTAGAAAGAAAGAACAAAAGATAAAAGAACGGAAACACTTTTATTGCTACATCTCTTCTTCTTGTTACATTACAATGAAAATAATCCATACATTTATAGGAAAAAATATTGAAAGAAACAAGGAAATAAAGATACGAAAGAAACAAATAAGGCAAAATATAATTATCACGATATATATTTTATTCTTAATCGATATTATGCCTTTAATTGTTATCAATCATATCAAATCTCCATATTTTGTTTCTATTTCAACACATTTTCCTCCAATCTTTCCTTTTTCGGGTGTATAATAAATTCGTTTGGTACAGTGGAGGCCACCCCCGGATACACCTAATGAAAAAGGGCACAAACCCATAAAAATTTTTCCACAATCGACAATAAAAGATCAAAACTTTTTTTTTGAAAAGTTTCAGAGTTTTTTTTTTCAGCCGACCTCTTGTATAAGAACTGCAGGTGGAGACTCGTGGTGAGGCATGTATGCGGAGATGAAGACGCCGGCAGAGATTTTTGTCGGGAACCTCTCCATGGCGACGGAAATGCTAATGCCACCGAAGCTGTGACCCACGAGAATCACCCGCTCATTATCGGCAAGAGACGACATGAACTCTATCAACGGCTTCAGATAGTCGGAGATGGAGCGGACATCTTCGAGCCGCCTCGGGTCGACGCCGGAGCCACCGAGGTCCACGGCTGTTACACGGTGGCCGGCGAGTCGGAGCTCGGCTAGGACCTTGAACCAGCACCAGGCTCCATGGCACGAGCCATGGACTAAGACGAAGTGGTAGCGGCGTTGTTGCATGAGTTATTTTTTGTTTCTTATTGGGCTTTTGTCTGCGATGTTTCTGTTGTCTTAATGTAATCCGCAGTGGTATTTATAGGGGACTGCGACTGTTACCTTCTCCTCCATACCGGGTTTTGTACGTCATCGTAAAGTTTGTATCTGGGAAATCCGGTTTACTGATTATTAGTACGGAAATCCCATATCACATATTTAATTCATTTTGGATGTTAATCCCACCGGCCAGATTAAGACGTTTTCTATCGGAGAGAAAAAAAAAAACACGACGTCTTTGACTCTCTTTCTTTTTAATTTTTTTTTTATAAAAACTATTCACAAGAAAAACGTGTGTAATGTAGTCAAAGGACAATTGAGTGTATCATTGGCTTAACAGTCAAAAAGACATTATAAGCATGTATCCATGAAACTCGCAGTTGTATGCACAGAGGCTCTTCAAGGACAGATCCGTCATTTCGCTACGTAGGGTCTGTTTGTAATTGTTCTCGAATCATCATATAAAGAACACGTGATTGCCCCCGTGTGATTGGTATAGTAAGGTTGCTCTTTCACTCGAATTCAAATCCCATTTTGTGTAAACTATTATAAAAAAGAGCACGTGGTCCGTCCTTAGTGGATGTATTTGTCGGCGTCGATGTGAGCAGTGGAAGACAAAAGGCGAGTAAACATCTAATCGAGGTTTTGTCGGTTAGTTGCGTCGAACGAGCACCAGTTGTTTTTATTTGACATGTTCAAATCTAAACGCTAGAGAAATGGTTCAATCCGACAAAATTCTAATATGGCAAAGCTAATTAATTTTCCCGTCTCTTTTCTTAGGGGGGTTTATCTGGTAAATAACGTAATAACCGAATCTATCTGAACCGAACAAACGCATAACCATAACCGAATCAAATTAGATATAAAACCGAATGGTTATAATTTTTCTAAAATCGAAAAAATCGAATCTAAATATGACCGAACCGAACCCTAACCTAAATCCGATTAAACCCCCCTTAAACACAAATGTTTGATTTGGATTTTTCAATGATTCAATTCAATCCCCCTTTCAGACTCAAACCTATTTTACTAATTCCCTTATTTTGAAAAATAAAATAAAATCTCAGAAATGATTCCACAAGAATCTATTTTGTGCTGGCTGATCCATCTAAACGTCGAGTTCACATGCAGATGCGCGTATACGGAAAAGCGATATATTTCATATGGGCATCTGCATATTTTCCCTAAAGGAAATGGCAGCCCAACTTTGGAAATATTCAAAAATATACATTTTTTTAAAGGATGATAACGTAACAAAAACAAAGACTTTGAACGAGACTATACAATGAGGCACATATTTACAGAGTAAATGAGCAACATCATAACCCATTGGAAAAGGGCAGAGCACGAGGAAAGAAGCAAACGGGGCAAAGAGACAAATCTGAATATTTGGACAGGAGAATGCAAACAAGGACATGATGACTCAGATTTACGTTTACCAGTGTCAGCCTTCGGATTTACCACATGTGAATGTAACTGGCCGTAGTAATAGTTAATAAGTTGAGCGGTTTGTACCTTGGAGAATGGTCACTCTGAGGAACTATGGGCATGGGTGATTTAGCCGAGCATGGTTGGATGGCCGGTATGGAGCATCCTCTTAATCATATCCATCCCAAAGGCGGAGTCTGATGAGCTGAATCACGACACCGAAATCAAAATAAAAAGATATTAATCATATATAAAAAAACTTCCGCTGGTTACTATGGCATAAAAAAAAGGTAAGAAACTCGGTCTTGGCATGTATGGTTATTCCTGGTTCTTCTCAGTAAGCATAAACTACTGGCAACTGCAAATTGGATAGGAGATACAGAATCCGGACAAAAATAAGACTGAGGGACTTGTGGTCTATGGAGATGACATACATGAGCGAGAAAACCGTACCTTGGGATAATGACTTCAAACGGGAAGTAGAGCACAGAATCGGTTATGGGAGGAACGTGATCCTTTTTCTCATTCACAAATTTTATGATTTGGAACAAGACCTCTTGAAGTGAAGCCTCAAGCATGGTCCTACGAGCACTTCTCTCCTCAGACGCCTCTACAGTCATTTGCAACAGATGAGAAGAGTGAACTCACTTTCCACTTACATAAGAAAGACAGTGCAAGTTTCCCATATAATGGGGAAAGCCACCTTACCCCCTGGATCTATAACTACTTTAGAATGATGGGATTTGCTGGTTTGGGATTTTGCAGGCTGAGTCACATTCAGATTGATGTACCATTGCTCCCAATACAGCCTTTCGATTTTATTAGTGAACCAAGATGGTTGTTTGCTTTTGACTTCATAAAATGATAAACATATCTGTGACAATGGTTAAAAAAAAGAATCAATAACAATGGAGGCTGCAAAGCGAATACTGTACAAGAAGCATAACAAAAAACCTAGTTACTTCTCTCAGTTAGAAAACGGTATCGTAATGTTAGCTGCATATATGAGGCGTTTTCGGAAACATGCAAGACATACCTGACTTTTCTTGTTGGGGTGTTTATCAACCCAACTCATGAATTGCTCAATTTTCTCATCGATTTTCTTTTCCACTTCTATTTCACCGCATTGTACCTGCGTCAAATGGAGAAAAAGGATCAACCCCAACCCATAGCCACCTCTTGAAATGCTGATGTGAAAAGACTCCGTCGATGAAGAGAGAAAGAAGCTTTGGTACAAAACAAATACAGAGAAAAAAGAAATAATCTTACGTATGTGATCTCAAAAAGCTCCAGATCAATATCTTTGGGCCGAATAAGACCGAGTGCTCGATGAAAGACAATAGTATGTAGAAGGCCTGCAGCAGCCAAATTGAGCCTTCTCGGGTGAGTTGCCGGGAAAACTTAACAACGTAGGAGATTGATACAGCGGTATTCTAAAACCATGAAAAGAGAGCTAACACAGGTAACTCCAGAAAATACCAACAATGAATTATATCAAGGAATGAACTATGGAATCCTCCAAGGTGTACAGTGTTAAGAACATGAATCCAGAGAGTGGCAAGAACTGAAGCAAATAGATCACATGTTGGTTACACATGGCGACCAAATGCCAGGGAACCCTGGAATGTTACATTCTATCTCCTTCTCCTGCAGGATCTAGATTTTTCATCGTTCAGCAATAATGATGCCCGGTCCAATTCCAACATACCAATTGAGCACAAATTTTTACCAGAAGGTTTTCACTTGAGAGAGATTTGTAAAATCAACGCAGTTTCAGCTACCCGACAAAAAAACAAACCTAACTAAACCAAACACACAACATGAAACATAAGCGTTGTCGGAAACTTACAGCGCAAAACCTCACGAATCTCGAAGTGTTCGACTTCCTGGAAAAGTAACACGCATTAAACACCCGAGACACAACCTTAACCAATCGCCAGTAAAGAAGAAGAAGAAGAAGAAAACGCCAAAAACAACACTGCCGAGTCTACGATAAAAGCACGACTTGATAACTACGATTCGACTGATCGATTCAAGACGAAATAGGCTCTTACCAGTTCCTTCAACTGACAAACTTCGCAATTCATATTCACTGGATCAAATTTCGGGGAGGAGAATCTTCCGATTTTCCGATCGGAAACGACAATTTCCCGGGATCACGTTGAAACTCTCGGTCTCGGAGAGTGACTGAATTTGGGATTTGGATACGTGTGTGATTCTTTTTTAAATCGTGATCCCCACTCTTTTTGGATCTTATGAGGCCCATTATAAGCCCAATAAAAAGGCCCAAAAAAACACCACTTTCGCAAATGGACATTAAAGAAATATCCCAATTTTCAAATTGGTAAATAAATACTATAATTTGATTAATCTACGATATCGTATAAATTAATGTCGTCCTCGATTAAATAGATTTGGTATCTATTTAATGCAAAATAATCAAAGTTTTTGTTTAATAATTTGAAAATTGAAATATTTATATGATATATTAAGGCAAATTGTGATACAGTTATGAAATTTTCATTAATATTAGTTCTAGTAGTATTTTCAGAATGTGACATCTTTTTATGTTCAGATTTAGTTTATCACTCGAACTTAGAAACAGACAAAGAAAAAGGATTCTTAGAAACAGAGTTGTATAAATAAACAAACCATAAAGATACAAACTTTTTATCCTTTCCATTGTTTCCATTCTGCCTCTCTTTCTCTCTTCTAGTGTTTTAAAACAATCAGTGGTCATACTCTCATGACCAGAAGAACAAAACCAAATCAAAGAACTTGGAGACACAGACAGCGAATCTAAAGCTCTCAAGGGTGTCTTCCGATGGCTTTGCCACAGAGAAGAAGGTTGTCGGGAGGGTTGTATTCGTTGGCGAGGCTCTGGACAGGGTTCCACACTTTGAGATAAAACTGTTGTCCAAGATACTGCCTCTCCCATACAGCTGATCTCATGTTCCACATCCCTTGATTGTCCAGAGACACTAAGATCGCTGTCCATGAGTTCGGATATACCTGCAGGACGATCAAGAACAACGCATTAGATCATGTTTTTAACGTGGTTGGTCAGAGAGTTTTCTGTGAAAAGGATCCATTAAAGGGGTTTAATCACATCAGCGTCTCTTCATGTTTCAAGGTATGCCCTTCTTTCCATGTCTTTGGCTATGTGAATCTTGGGGGAAGTTTGTGATTGGTACCTGAGTTGTGTGTCTGGTAAGAGCGTCTTCAAGATTGTACAGTGATCTCTTTGCCGGTGTCCATTGTCCAGAACCAAATCTGGATTCAGTACCAAAAAAAAAAAGAGAGAGCAACAGTTCTTTAGGACTCAGCTTGAGCAAAGTTTATCAGCAAATGACAAGTAAAATCAAAACCGTCGAAACTCACCCTACGGCCCAGAAATCGTAACCATCAAGATGCCAAGACTGCATTGCATTTTCGTTGTTCTGGAAGACAACCTCGATGAAATCATGGAGAGATGTCTGGACTACAGAAGTAGCAACAGTTGCCGGAGAATTGGAGGGCACGCTCTGGATGGAATTGGTGCTGAAGACTCCGGCAATGCCAAAGTAATCAGCCAGTTTAGGAGGCGTGTCAGAGTTCACGTAAGAGACACCATTGACAGCATAACGTTGCTTTCCATTGATCAGAGGAGCTGAATTGGAGAAGACGAACATCTTCGTGGGAGTGATTTTTCCGTAATGGAAGGACCCCTGAGGATTTGGCCTAGCTGCGTTTGCTGTCAAGTTCCACCTGCACAGACCAACAGTAAGCAAAATTGAAAGATAAAAGGACAAACAATCAGTCTGGCGTAAGAAACACAAGTACTTCCTCTTACCTGAATGTCCTGGCTTGTCTCATGGACCAGACCAACCCTCCCGGGGGAGAAGCCGGCAAAGACCCAGAAGCTGGAACTCGGGAGTTAGAGTAACGTAACAGTCCAGTCACAGAAAATACACTTCTTGTGAAACGGGTGCTTGCAACGATGTAATAATCTTTAGGAGATTGGTTTAAGGTCACCAGAACAGAGAGAGACTGGCCGACATGAATGTCAAGAGAATCATAGTCGGTTTGAATCACATGAGAGCCTTCAACTTCAACCAGTTTCATGGTATGCCCCTGGATTCTGAAGTTGAAGGACGTTGATAATCCAACATTTGAGATTCTTAACATGTATGTATTCCCTGCAATATATAAAACAGAAAACGAAAGTTGATACCCCGAAAACCAAATGCCCCAAAAAGAACAATGCCCTATTGTGTATATGCAGACAAGAGTATTATTTACCTTGGTCGCCTGTGAATGTTGTCTGAGTCTGTCCATTGATGAGGATTCCATCTGGAAACGGTAAAGGTGACCCAGAATCCAAGCGTTGTTGCAGAGTCTGCATAAAGTTCAGAGTTTGGAAACCATTAGATATAACACCAAGATATAATCATACCAATCTGACAAGAAGAAACACCACATAATATGAATCAAGCCCTTACCTTGTGGTTGGACTTGAACCAGTCACCGATGAGCAATGTGAAATCTGCAGTGGGGAGAGTATAGGGGATGGGTATTCTCGGCCTCGCATAGATATTGATTGCTCCATAGCCTCCTGCGGCTTTGTGCATGGCCGTGGAGGGGAAGTAAGAATATGTCCCGATCTGATCTTTTGTCTGAAACTTGTAGGTGAAGTTTGAGTTTGGAGGAACCGGACAGTTCGTGCCCAAAACCCCATCTTGCCATGAGTTCTTCCTCTGCTTAATCCCATTCCTAAAGCAAAAACCTTTCTTTGAGCAGACCAAACAACGACTATGCGAATGGGATAATTCACTTAAATATACCAAATGTGTCGCATGAATTTCACAGATACACCCAAGATGAACAGTAATTTTTTTTATTTCAATTTTATACCATTTTTCACTCAAAAAGTCTGAAATAACTTTTTTTCTATATTTTTTACGACTTTATTATAACTGTTATATAACTAATATACGACTAAAAAAAGAAGTATTTATGACCATATAACAACTAAAAATCGTATAACTAATAAGATATATTTTTTGCAACTTCATTTACAATCAATTGCAACTCTATTTAGAATCAATTACAACTGTATTTAGAATCAATTGCGACATTGCAATTACAATTACACGATTTTATTAAGGGTATTACGGTCTTTTCAAAAAAAAAATTAATGTGTTATGTTTTTTTGGATGTATCCTGACATTCATGCGACACTTTTGTATATCTGTGTGATTTACCCATGCGAATGACCCACTGATCAGAACACATCAAAACTCAATACTAACTTTTCTCTCCGAAAATCTAGGGTTGAAATCACCCGATTAGAAATGCAATTCACCGGGAAAAAAAAGTAAATATTCCAAAAAAGCAAAATCATCCAATGGGGAAGATATGGGTTCGGAATCCCCTCCGAAAATCCCCTGTTTCGCAGCGCGAAAGTGAAAAAGCTCGGATCTTTGGAGATTTGATGAAAGGGGTCTCAAGAACAAATGGTAGATCCAGTAATTTCTGGACATAAAGCTATAAAACATCCACATCTTGGAGTGAAAGAACGGACTTACCAGGTCAAGAGGAAAGGTTGGTCGAGTTTGTTGATGAGGTTGAGAACGATGTTGTCATTGGTCAAAAGGTCAAGCCTTGGACCAGGAAATTGGCCATTGATAAGGATAACCTAAACAACAAAATCCCCCCAGATAGATAAGGCCACAGATTAAAAAGCACCCCATAAAAGTAGAGCGGAAACAACAAAATCTTGGAGCTTTCCAAAAGAAGAAATCATACCTGTTGAGGAACACCGAGAGGAGAAATAATGCCATAAGTGGCAGTCCAAGTGTAGTACTTGTAAGGGTCATCTCCTCTCACCGTCACTACACTGCCCAACACAGCCAAAGCTCCGAGAAGAAGATGGAGCATAACTGATCTTGCCATTTTCATGGCCAATGAGAAAAGAAGCAGGAAACTTTACGAAAACCCAATATTCTTCTCCCAAATGGGTATGAGAAATGCAGATTTTTCTCCTTCTTCCTTGTGGTTCTCGATGTAGGAAGCAGGGTCTGCCAAAAGCTTAGTGGTATAAGTAAGTGCACAGGGAGAGGAGGGAAGCTATGGTGCAATGAAAGAGGGAAAAATTTTTACTTTCCAATGCTCTCGTCTTTAATTCCCTCTCTCAAGTAAGATACACTGTAGGTTCCATCCGGTCCCAGATAAATCAATAGTGAAGAGACTTTTATATTCGAATTTCACGCGTCTTCTCCTTTTATTTTCTAGTTGGAAAAAAGCTGTCATTTCATTTGTAGCTGAATTACAAAAGGACATGTCCAGACTCCAGAGGAGCATGCTCCATTTAGAAATGGGTTCATTAATCAGTACAAAAAATGGGAAAACATTAATACGAAAATTGCATGGGAAGTGGATAAAGGTGGGTGGATTGAAAGAAAGGCTAAAACAATAATACAATATGCGTTTCCGCGTTATTATGATTGCTTCCAGCCAAAGCTTACCACAACAAAACAAACAAACCCATGATTACCCTTTAAAAAATATAAAAACAAAATGCAAAAAGACAGGAATTCTGGGGTAAACAACCTAAAGTTGCCCTAATTTCTCGCCGCTGATTTGATTATTTCCCCCTTTATTTCGCCACTTGTCTCTCTTCGCAAAAGCATAAACACAATAGATATAGGGAGTGCTAATTCACGATATCGTCAAGGGCTCCCATATGAACGCAGTAAATGTAGGAGGGTGGGGACTGCTGCTTCTGCCGTTTGATAATATAGATGACCCAAGTCGGTGGCCAGATAATATTTTATTATAGGGCCTTTAAGTAAAAATGTGTTGCCTTCTGTTTGCTCTTAAAGTAGATTATTTCAATGATAACGTAAAATTCCTTGTTGATTGAAACTATTAGATTTTTTTGTGCAATATGTTTTTGGAAAAAAAAAACGATTTCGCTTTATATTTTTGTTATGGAATCTTATCTTAATATATGTTTATCTCATATTAAAAAAATATCTTTCTTATAGAATTAATCAAAACGGCCATTACAAAGAAAAAGGGAAATTTTGTATCTTATTTTGTAGCTAGCATTAGATTGATAATCATATGATAAAAAACATTTTTAGTTATTTAATAGTATAACACTATACAAATATAGCTAAAAACATTGATTTTGTCAAAGCAAATCTAAGAACCAAGTCAATGGCAAAAATTTATGAGTCTGCCATCTTTGTAGAACAAGAGAAATCTTATGTCGGCAAATTAAGAACAAGCAGGAAGCATGTGCTGCGTAAGCCGCCTTGCTTTAATTAATCAGAATCCTGCAGCTAATACAGAAAAAGGCATTTATTATTATGCAATCTTTGTTTGGACGTAATTGAACCGGCTCAAAACTCAATTGGACCTAATCGGCTGTATTAAATCTAATGGGCCCAATGGACTTATATAATAAAAATAAAGGGTAAAAAATCAGAAATGTGGAAAGTTGAGGGCCGGCTAAAAATATTAAATCTCTCCGTTAGGGCCGTTTCTTCGGAGGGTAAAGTCGACGCCGTCTGGACTTCACCGGTAATTTGAAAGAAAAAGGACAAAACTTTCGTGTTTTTTTTTTTTTAACAAAGGTTGGTATTTTCATTACTTTAAAAATAGAACAATATGCTTTTCATTATTTTTGTTGTTAAAGGTTTTCATTCCTTTTGACAAAACTTTCGTGCTGGGAGTAAGTTATTTTTTTGGTTAACAGCTTCGAGTAAGTTTCGGGGCAAAGAAGAAGCTGTCGGTTTTCTGCTGCGCAATGGTCAACTGTTGCTCCACTTGACAACAATGACGCGGTTGCTTTGTAACTAAGCTAAGCTACGCCAAGCAGCATTGACTGAGGATTCCGGCTTATAGTTAAATCAAGTCTGCGAATTTCGGATTCCACAGACGAAATCTGCGAGTTCTGTTTCTGGGTTTTGCTATTTTCTCAGAATTGTTGGAGGAGGTGGAAGGTGAAACAATGGCTGCGTTGGTCGGAGGTGCTGCTTTGGGAGCTCCATTCGCTGTACTGCTGGATGCGATAATTGCAGAGGCAAAGAAGGTGAGAGCTTTCAAGTCGTTGTTCAAGAACCTTGCCTCAACGATGGAGAGCTTGATTCCGATCGCCAAAGAGATAGATTCGATGTATGACAAGTTGGACTTACAGAAGAAAGAACTGAAAGATCTGATAGATACGATCGGAAGGGCTCAAAAATTGGTTCGGGAGTGTTCGCAAATCTGGTGGTTCGATATTTACAGCAAATCCAGATATAGCAGCAAAATAAAGAAAATTGATCAGGATTTCCTCAGGTTTCTTCAGATTAATATTCAGCTTCTAATTTTTGAGAATCTCTTGAAGACTATGTGCTCGATGAAAAGCGTGCATGAAAAAATTGATCGCATGAGATCGGGCGGGAACCAGTTTACGGATCTCTGTTCGGCGCCGGAGCCTGAAAGGGTTGCTGTCGGATTGAATCGGCCATTGATGGAACTGAAGGAGAAGCTTTTCGATGACGGGACATCAGCTGTCGTGGTGTCTGCTCCTCCCGGCTGTGGGAAGACAACGCTGGTCACAAAGCTTTGCCACGATGAACAAGTCAAAGGTATATTAATGAATCTTCAAGTTGTGGTCTTTAACCGTTTATACGTTACTCTTCTCCACGAGCGTTCGGATCTCAACTTTGGAAGCTCTTCACCATTTGTGGGCGGCTTTGTAATGTTGAAATCTTGATATTGGTAACACACAAACTTGGGCTATGTAGTATTAGCTTCTTGTCTGAGATGTAGCATCTTGGAGTCAGAACCTCAGTGACACTAAATAATTCAAAGAATGCTCAATTTTACTATACAATCTAGTAGTATTTTCTGTCATTGGTTTAGACTTTGGAGATAGTTTATAGATATGAGAGTTTTGCTTTGGAGTTTAATTTTCTTGTTTCTCGTGATTTTTTTGTTTTGGCAGGAAAATTCGAAAAAATATTCTTTATCGTTGTGTCAAAAACCCCTAATGTGAGACTCATCGTACAGAAATTACTCCGACACAACGGTTATGAAGTACCTCCATTGGTGAACAAGCAGGAGGCAATTTTCGTCTTAAAAAAACTGCTGAAGCTAATAGGAGAAAACAGCTCTATGTTGGTTGTGTTAGATGATGTCTGGGTTGGAGCAGAGTCTCTGCTTGATGCATTTGCGGTAGAGTCACCGAATTACAAGATTCTCGTGACTTCACGATCTGAGTTCCCGAGTTTTGGTCCTACTTATAGTTTGGAACCTCTGAAAGATGAAGATGCTAAGACCCTTCTCATCAACTGGGCTGGGAAACCAAATTTTAGCTTTAGCTCCGAGTTTGAAGACCTTCTCCAAAAGGTATTGCTTTGCCTCTCTACTCACCCGTAAAATGATTATTCTAGTTCCACTGGGTTTCACTACTACTAGAAATGAACAAAATATGGGATTTATGATCAACAACTTCCATTCTCCTGTCCCTGTAGATTCAATTCAATAGCTAAGCTCCACATTTGCTATGGTGAAACAATAATTTCATCTTCTTTTTTGGGCATTCACGGTGTGATACAGATATTGAAACGTTGTAATGGATTCCCACTGGCAATTGAAGTAGTTGGCAGTTCACTGAAAGGCAAATCCCTATCTTCATGGAAAGGTCTAGCGGAAAAATGGGCTAAAGGCGATAAAATTGTTAATACTCCTCATCCTAAGGTGCTAGAATGCTTCCAACCTAGCATTGATGCCCTGGGCACTGCTCTTAAAGACTGTTTCTTGGATATGGGTTCATTTCTTGAGGATCAGAAGATACGTGCTTCAACAATATGTGACTTGTGGGTGGAATTATACCGCCGAGGTGAATACGATGCGCTTGCCAATCTAGAAGACCTTTCCTCCCAAAATCTGCTGAAACTTGTTACTCTCGGGTATGTCATCTATGTCTCCTTCCCGATATTGTTTCTTCTTCTTGCTGCCATCAACCAATTCAATGATTGTACTGCCGTTTGTGACAACCACTGCTAAAACAACTATCTGTGTAAAGCTTATTTTCCAGAACTTAGATTATCTTATAGGGCCAACAAAATCAAAGCCTCAATCTAGTGTATGCTGACTTCAAAACATGAAAGCTCTATACCATTCTTCCACGTTTGTGGTTTTAACTTGGAAAAGTTAGGCCCAGATGGTTGGCATTCTTCGTAGTCTACTGATTTCCAGTATACAGTAACTTAATGACAAACTCAATTGCTTGCTAGGAGAAATGGCCATGAAGACGGCTTCTTCAATGAGTACATGGTGACACAACACGATATACTGAGGAAGCTGGCTATTCATAATAGCGAATTGGAAGAAATCCCGGAAAGGAAAAGACTGAACTTAGAGATACAAGATGACACGTTTCCCGACTGGTGTTTAGATCTATCACAGCCTTTCAAGGCTCGTCTTTTGTCCATTTGTACAGGTAAAACTCCGCAGCGATTAAGAAAGGCCTTTGCTGTTCTTTAAACACAACCCACATCTTATAACTGTGTCTGCTATTCTTTTATTACAGATGATTCATTCTCTTCAGAATGGGTTGACATGGATTTCCCAGAAGTGGAGGCTTTAGTTCTAAATATCTCCACTTTAAACTATGGCTTACCCGGCTTCATTGCTAAAATGGAGAAACTAAAGCTTCTGACAGTAACAAATCACGGGTTTTTCCCTGCAGAAGTGAGCAACTTCTCGTGTTTCAGATCCTTGCCAAATCTTAGACGGATAAGATTGGAGAAAGCCTCGATAAGTTTGCTGGACGTCACCCAACTTCGACTTCCGAGTCTTGAGAAGTTATCCATGGTCATGTGTGACTTCGGTGAGGTTTACTACGAATTGGAAATCGATATCTCTGGATCTCTACCGAGATTGCGAGAGATTGACATTGACTACTGCATTGACCTCGATGAATTACCGTTTTGGATCTGCAAAGTTGTTTCGTTGAAGAAACTCAGCATCTCGAACTGTAACAAGCTCGCTACACTTCCGGAAGCCATGAGCAACTTGAGAAACCTTGAAGTGCTGAGGCTGAGGTCTTGCATTTATCTCTCTGAGCTGCCGGAATCGATAACGGGACTTGGAAACTTGAGCTACCTTGACGTTTGTGATTGCATCGGTCTGAGGAGATTGCCTCTGCAGATCGGTGGGATGCAGAAACTGAAGAAGATTTCGATGACAAAGTGTGGACGCTGCGAATTGCCAGATTCAATAAGAGATCTCGAGAATTTGGAAGTGAAATGTGATGAGGAGACGGAGGTGATGTGGGAAAGGTTCAAACCTGTTATGAGGAATTTGACAGTCCATGTGGAGGAATGCAAGCACAGCTTAAACTGGCTGAAAAATCTCTGATATCAGTTCAGCATTAAGTGTAACGTAAACATCCTCATTATATATAATATACACTACGATAAAATACACATTGCATATATGCATATATGTATGTATGTGTATGTGAAGCGTTTTTTGGATAGAGCAACAAAACAGGAGGGGGTGATACAAAACAAATGACAGAAAACGTTGGGACAGAGGGAAAAGAGGCAAAAACCTAACAAAACTCCTCCAATCAACACGTTATCCGAACAACAGCAAAAACAGAACGGTACGGTTTGCATACGGACAAGAACAAGGAGTACAATCATACAACGGGTTCGACTATTGCAGAGCATAAACTATCTCGCCGCTGCTGTCAACGTCGATCTCAGATTCGGAATCCAAGTCGTCCATGTCATCGTCATCATCATCGAGATAGAAGTTATCGGCCATGTAATCATCGAGGCGGCGGTTACGGATCGATGGGATGGTGGCCTCGGAAATTATCTGCATGATGGTATCGAGACTTTGCACGGGCTGGTCAGGCTCTTCAAACTGGTTACCCATCGTGTTCTCATCCATTAGATCGGCCGGGATATTCTTCAAGAACCATTCGTGAGCTTTGATCTCCGGAATCGTTATCCTCTGCCGGAACCACATCACGAGTGTCATTTGCCAATGGCTAAAAGACGATACCTTTTGTGTATTTTACCTGGAAAGCGACGCCATGGTCTGAAGAGGATGATGACTTACTGCTGCAGGATCGGCTACAAAGATTCTTGATATGAGATGACGGCATTCAGATGAAAGCTGGATATCCTCGGGTATTGAGTATTTGACACTGAGGATTCTCTGTGTTTAAAAGCATGTTGGCCCGTTCAAGTTCGGAAAAATACTAGATAGAAAAGAAGAAAGGATGATGACTTTACTTGTATTGTCTTTCGATAATCCCTTGGCTCTTCGGGATCCTCGAATGGATATGCTCCAACCAACATAACGTATAGGGTTACACCGCATGACCATACATCTGCAATCTGATATCTCAAACACCCGAGTTCAGAATTTGGGTTAATAATGATGATGATATCGAAGACTGGAAGCTGATTCGGCTTAGGTCAAGTGCTCTTCATTTTACCTTGCCATCATATTCCTGTCTAAGCAACACCTCCGGAGCAATGTATGCAGGGGTACCAACAGTTGACTTTGGTTGTGAATGAAGAACAGATGACTGAAGAGGTAATGTAATTAAGGCGGAGAGATCAGATGACAAATGGAAGCAGAGACAACAACCTTAATACAACAGCTCAATAAATATGGTATAGAGTTAACCATGTATTATCCAGCTTTATTCTCAAATAGCAAAACGAGGAAGAACTTAGGTACATGCAAAGAAACAAGCAAGACAATGAAGAACCATAACAAGAATAGGAATTCAGAGGACAACCCATCTGATTAAAAGCAGTACCTTGGAATATCCAAAATCACAAATTTTTAACCGAGGAGCAGGACTTCCGTCCAACAACGTGTTTTCCAGCTTCAGATCACGATGGCAGACTTGCTTCACATTGAAAAACAAAAGAAAAAGTCTGAACACAGTCATGTTAACGGAAGAAAGAAAACAAATTACAACAAGAACGAGATTTTCAAGGAGTCAAAAACGCATTTCTACAATACCATTGCATGACAATAGCTGACACCAGATATAAGCTGCTGAAAGAAGAAACGAGCCTGTACAAGAAATCAGCGATCATTGAGACATGGAAACCAACAATTAGAAGAAAGAGAGACAATGATACCAGAACACAAACCTCGTCTTCGCTAAACCGGCCTGCATTGCAAATCCGTGCGTAAAGCTCTCCTCCAGAGGCATACTCCATTACAATAGCCAGATGGGTAGGTGTCAAAATGACCTGAAAGCAGAAGCAGAAGCAGAAACAAAGTGAACCATTGCTGCCACACAAGCGTAGACCAGGAGCCAGAAGGGTGTGTTCATTTACCTCTCTAAACCTGACAATATTGGGATGCCTCAATGACCTGTGGTTTATGATTTCTCTTTGAACATTTTCATCGATCTACATCACGGGATATGGGATATCGCCTTAGTAAGATCTGGGCTACAACTCATCCAAAACTTCCACCAACTGTCATACACATCTAATCATCCAGAACTGGATCAAATCCTAGCCATGTCAATATTTCAGATGATTCTCCGTTACAAACAAAATTACCTATCCGACTTCTTTCAAGTCATTTCTATCACCAAACATCGGTGTAGACGCTGCAAAATGGAAACTTGAGAAACATTGAAGTCTTCAAACGGACAGGAAATGGCATATCTTGAATCAAAATCACAACTTTAAACGGAATCATACTTTTATGAAAGAACCATAGACAACGTATAAACCCTTAAAGGCAACAGAAAACGTGAACGCTGAATCAGGTGACTACCAAATACGCAAAAATACAGGTAAAACTACTACATCCGGAAACCGGAAGTATCCAATCAATCCCATGAACTGAAAGCGAAAAATACGGAAACCACAAAAAAAAAGCTAAGACATTCGATCGTAAACACCTTGTCTCCTCTCTCGATGTATTTAACAGCAACGAGCTCCTTGGTGACCTTATCCCTCATGAGCCGGGCAACGCCAAAATTACCGGACCCGATGTCCTTGACAAAATCGTAGCGGTCACTGTCGTGCATGATCGGCAAGTCCATCGCCGGCCCCGCTGCCATAGCCGTCAGATCCATCTACGGTTCTTTCTCCGATACCTCACGATCACATCACAGAACTAAAAACCCCGACGACTTCGCCGATTACGCGCTCAAATCCGCAACTCGGAGAGAAAAAATGAGCTTGAATCCGAAAGGAGGAGGAGATGAATAGTGTCGGAGAAGAAAATATCTGGGAGAAGATATTTTGCGAGAAGAATCGAAAAACGACCGAGAGAAGGGAAAAAAAGGAAAGGGAGAAGGAATCAACGAAAGCAATTATTGGTCGTCCCAAGACATATGTTTAGGTGGTATACAAAAACGGCGGCGTTTTCCAGTTTGCCGCAGCTCGATACGACAAATTCCGCCGCGTTTTGGCGAGTAGTTGCTTTATAAGCAACCGAATTTTTTTAAAAAAGAAAAGATTTCTGCAAGAAAGGATTATGTTCTCCGTATTTATCCGTTTAGTTTCTTTCTTTTCTTTTGTCCAACAAAACTATAAGAAAACAATCGAAAATGATTTTAAAAATGAATTTATAAAAAAAAAAAAATAGAATGCGTATATGAAAAGAAAGGGATTGCTTGAAAGTTACGTGGTGGAGAAGGAGTGAATGAGGGGTGAGGGAGAATATTCGGAGGCGGAGTTGCCGTCAGTTGACGGCGTCAAATCCAAACTCCAGTTGCCAACGGATCAACTAACAGTCCGATCAAAAAGAAAAGTCGGGTGAGAGACGGAGAAGTAAGGTGACTGGGCGTGAGTCGTGACGTGGCCAAAAAAGGGTTTTTGTTTATTTATTCATTTAAAAAAATGGAGATTAATGTTGGGCCTCAGTCCAAACAGCCTATATCCCAGCCCAAACTGCGGAAACGATTTCCTCTAACAAGCGACGAATATTCTCCTCTTTTTTTTTTTCTTTTTTTTTATAACCTGCTGTTAAAAAAAGAATATTATGGTATTATTGCTTAAGATTTTTGGCAAGAGTTCATCTCATATGCAGAGTGAGTGTTTTAGAACGATATTTTTCTCGAAACCAAATTATACCGAATCGCAAAATATGGAATTTTTCCCAATTAAATTATTCAAAATTTTATAACGATATTGTTTTTATAAAATCGAAATTTCTCAAAATCGAACCGAATTTTAAAAAAAAAAATTGAAAAACAAAAAATTTCTTAAAAAGATCTTTTTAAAAAAATAAAGAACGAAATCGAAACTGGATATAAAAAATATTAACCAGTCAGTATATATTTTTGTAAAACCGAAACAATCGAATCGAAATATTCTCGAATCAAACACGAACTGTATACCGAAAATGTCCACCCTATTTTTAGGCTATGTCGTAGTGAAACAATATTGAAGGACGGTAAAAATTAAATAAAAGATGATCAACCTGAAAATATTTTTCTGAATGCGGAAATTTATTTGAAAACCTTAGTTATGTCAAATTTGTATTTACGTTAAGGGGTCTGTGTACATTTTAAGCAAACAAAATTCTTCAGAACGCCATCCCGCTCGTGGGTACAAAATTTTATTTATTTCTTTTATACGGAGTGCGGAATCTATTTGAAATGGATCGTCTCAATATCTAAATTTATTGATAATGTATCATCTTATATATAGGTCTTTAACAAGGGGATATTACAAATATACCTTTAAAACGTAACATGAGCTTCAAGACATACCCTTGAACAGTTAGGGTTTCAAAAAAAAATTGAAAAACGTTAAAAAGACAATCATACCCTTCTAAAAAATTACACGTGTAATAATCTGAAGGAAGATGACAAAAGAGGGAGAGAAAGTGGGTAGTTGTCAAATAAAAAATTATTAAGTTAAAAAAAACTGTTCAGTTTCTTCTTCCTCTCTTCTTCACGATTTTTCTCTAACGGACATTCTCCAGCCAATTTTATTGGCGATTTCTTGTGCGATTTTTTCTCTTCACTTCAAAATGGCTTCGTCTTCATCGTTTTCGGCTTCTATTTGCGAAGATTTTCAAGTAACGTTTTCATTATATATCACCGAAAAAGTTAATTGTTTTTTTTTTAAATTTGATATATGTGTACTTGGACAAATATTTACGGTAGACAAGATCTTAGTCGAATGAGTTATAGTATTCGAGTTTTACAGTTAAGGAAAATTAGGTTTTCGGTTTGAAATCAAGTCATATGAGAGTTTTGTCTCTATCAGTATCGTAATGGTCATACTCGTCACACTGGTCGTACTTGAAGGGTGTGACACGTTTGACTAGTCATATTAAACTAGGTACACCCGTCAATGGTCATACCAGTGAAGTCGTCACACCGTCACACTGGTCACACTGGTTTCTACCATAGTGGTCATACTCGTCACACTAGTCACACTTCAAGGGTGTGACGAGTTTGACTAGTTTTATCAAACTGGGTATACCTGTCACCGGTCATACTAGTGAAGTAGTCACACCGTCATACTAGTAAAACTAATGATGAAGTAATGTTGTCATACTGGTCACACTAGCCGCATACAAAATGGTCATACTAGTCACACTGATTGCATTTGAAAGGTGTGACCAGTTTGACGAGTTTGACTAATATGATAAAACTGGTCAAACTGGTCACACCGGTCAAACAAAACTGATAATGAGTGTTAATTTTATTTTTCCAGGTTCCTTTTGTATATGATTTGAAAGACATTCATCAGGCTCCCAAGATTACAATGAAGTGTTAACCATATGAAACCATTCGGTTAACTTTTGGATCGACAGATCCACCTTCCAAAAAGCAACGAACAAAGAGATAAACCAAAGGTCGAAAGGGAAGAAAGGGAATCCATGAGGAACGTCAAGAAGTAACGGTGCCTCCAGAGGAACATCAAGATTCTTCTTCATGAATCCATTATCCTCGTCAAACTTGTCTTCTAACACATTGGCTTAGGGTAGGAAATAGTTTTTTCCCGCATGAGTTACGGTTAACAAAAACTCGTTAAATATGTTATAATGACCCCTATACACCACACTGAACCATCAAAACTTAATTTACACCAACGATTTGTTTTCACAAACCGTCAACCCGTCAAACTCGTCACACCGTCAGTACCCGTCAAACTCGTCACACTTTATCGATTTTCGTGAATTTTCCTACTGCAAACTGTAAACTTATCAATTATCATCCCATTCATCAAGTATCTTATGCTGAATCTAAATCTAGCTCTCAAATTTTAAGACCTTTTTGTTTCTCACAATGCATGTTCTCCCAAAAAAAATCCCAAAGTTTTAGTACAATTTTTGTAGCACATTAGGTTAGGATAGATTATATTATTTTCCAATATGATTTACGAATAAGTATTTATATATATATATATATATCAATATGTATAGTATGCATTAAGGGTGGGTTCTGGTTTTGGTACGATATTAGTACTGTATATTATTCGATTCAGTTGGGTTCTAGTTTTGTTACGGTTCGGTTTCGTTTTTTGTTAAAAAAAATCAGAGTGTCTTAAAAAAGTTTCGATTTTCGAAAATTTTTTAAAAAAGTTTGGTTCGATTCCATAAGATTTGGTGTTATAAAAAATGCATTAATAGATGAAGAATGAATATAATTCAACAAAAAGTCACACTTTCGTCATATTTCCATCTTCATTGTGAATACATATTCAATCTCTAAAAAAGGTCTTAACAGAAGAACCACATAATCTCACCGTCAGACTCGTCGCACTGTCAAACTCGTCGCACCGTCACACTAGTCAAACCGTCGCACCTTATCGAATTTCGCAAATTTAACAATTGTAAATTGTAAATATATTGATTATCACCCCGATGAATAAGTATCGTGGATTGAAACTAATCCTAGGTCTCTAAATTTAATATCTTTTGTTTTCTTGACAATGCATGTTCTCTCATGTGAAACCCTAAAGTTCTAGTAGAGTTTGTGTAACACATTGTCTTAGGGTAGAAGATATTGATTTTTCAGATGAATTACGATTTATCGATTTTCGCGTCACACCGTCAGTACCCGTCAAACTCGTCACACCTTATCGATTTTCGCGAATTTGCCTACTGCAAACTGTAAACTTATCAATTATCATCCCATTCATTAAGTATCTTATGCTGAATCTAAATCTAGCTCTCAAATTTTAAGACATTTTTGTTTATCACAATGCATGTTCTCCCAAAGAAACCCTAAAGTTCTAATAGTGTTCTCCTAACACATTGGCTTAGGGTAGGAAATAGTTTTTTCCCGCATGAGTTACGGTTAACAAAAACTCGTTAAATATGTTATAATGACCCCTATACACCACACTGAACCATCAAAACTTAATTTACACCAACGATTTATTTTCACAAACCGTCAACCCGTCAAACTCGTCACACCGTCAGTACCCGTCAAACTCGTCACACCTTATCGATTTTCGCGAATTTGCCTACTGCAAACCGTAAACTTATCAATTATCATCCCATTCATCAAGTATCTTATACTGAATCTAAATCTAGCTCTCAAATTTTAAGACCTTTTTGTTTCTCACAATGCATGTTCTCCCAAAGAAACCCTAAAGTTCTAATAGTGTTCTCCTAACACATTGGCTTAGGGTAGGAAATAGTTTTTTTT